AGGTCTATCGGTATCCATTTTCATCAGATCTTTCATTTTCACGACAAATATGTTTCCCATTCTCACATTCATTTCTTCAAAAGCAATCACAATACTTATTTTCTGTCTCTTTTCACTAACATGTGATTGGTTTTTCTTCTCTTTCTTTTTCTTATTCCAATCTCACGACATCAAGTGTCCTCTTCCTTTCCCCTCAACATCTTTTTCTTCTTTTCTTTTCCTTCAATCTCTTTTCTGATCATCGCAATATGAATCCTTCAACGAGCTCTCCTCCTTTTCCTCCACTTTCTCCCCTTCCCCCAACATGTGAATTGACACCATTCTTGAGAAAAGAGAAAACAAATTCAAAACCTTCATTTAGGTGCCACTTGCCTTCTTCTTGCCTCCTTCCTGCCTTCTTCTTGCCTTCTCCACTTCTTCTCCACTTCTTCTCCACTTCTAGTCATCACTTTCCAATCCTTCTTTCTATACATCATTCAACCTTTTCTAAATGATCTTTTAAAAGCTTAAACCATTTGAATTGAACCATATGAATAATATAGATTGTATTCAGGCACTATCTTCTTTTCCCTTCAAACATTTCTTCTTTGCAATGTTCACTCGACAATTAAGTCTTCTCGCATTTTGTCGAAGTTCAAAGAAGAAAAAGTCGAAAAAAGGAAATGTCGAAGAAGGAGAAAATGAAGAAAATGAAGATGAAGAAAAAGAAAAAGAAGGAGGCACATCGAAGAGGAAAGAAGAAAAACAACAACAACAACGATGTTAGTTTGACGCTTTAATCAATAAATTATTCTATTGTATTCCTGTGATAGAATCCCTAATCCCTGTAATGCTATTCCTTGTTGTCTTAAGATATACCGTAAATACTGTAATAGTACCCCACCCACGTACAGTCGCGTAGTCGCAAAAGTTTTTTAGTATTTCATTTTTTTCAAAGCGCCCGTACTTTCAAAAAATGTTTCTTTGGTATCAAAAAATAGCTGAAATTCAGAGCTATTTTTTGATACCTAAGCGCGCATTGTAGCATAAACCAGTGTCGAGAAAAACTCGTTCAAAGCTAGACTACGCAACACTCCGCACCGTCATTTTGGGGGTGAGGTACTATTACAGTATTTACGGTAGTTATATATTGAAAGTAACTCAGAAATTGTAGGGTTTTTGAGCTGACAAGCTAAAAAGTTAAAGAGCTGACGAGCTAAAGCTATCAAAGTCACAAGATGTAAGTTATTGCTTTAAAAGTTCTGCCTACAACTTTATAGCGATTCTATTGCAGGTACTGAAACAATAAAATGATTGATGACATTGATTGACGTATTTTCGATCAGTAGTGCAAAGAATTTCAAGAATTTTTCTCACTTAATTGAAAAAATTTTAAATTCTATGAAGTGATGGGATTGCAGGGAAAACCCATCTCTAATCACTTTCTTTTCCTTTCCTATTTCACTTCAAGAAAGCCCATAATTCAGTCATAATTTGCCCGGTCTTTCCCTTGGCATCATTCATGTCTGTGTTATCACACCTTTTTTTTTGATTTCATATCAAATCTAATGATTGGGAGGGGCTTTTCTTCTCTTTTTCCCTTTCCCATCTTGTCTGTTGTCTTGCCTTTCACACTTTTTCCACTCCAGGAAAAGGCTTAGCCCCTCTTTTCAGCATATTCATTTTATTTTATGGAAGAAACAGGTATTTAACTTGATTTTGTAAACAAAAAAAAAGACTAATATCTGAATAAAAAAAAAAATAATTCGTAAAAATTCGAATAGAATACTATGGGTCTTTTAATTTTCAACTCCCTAAAATTGGCCGATCAAAAAAGTAGATAAAGGTCCCGTAAATAAATCAAAAAAATTAAAAAATTGTTAAAAATTGCTAAAAATTTTTAAAAACTATTTTAAACGATAGCCCTTGGTATAAAATGTACGAAAAATATATTTAAAAGTAAAAGTTTTTTGGAATCGTATGCGTAGATTCCGAATTTCGACAAATCAGACCTCGCTGACACGTCAAATTTGGGCTAAAAGGCAAAAACTACGCAACTTAACGCTTTTCCGCAGTTTTTGCCTTTTAGCCCAAATTTGACGTGTCAGCGAGGTCTGATTTGTCGAAATTCGGAATCTACGCATACGATTCTCCTATATGAAAACATTTTTGAAGCTCTACGACCTTTCCTAAGGCCTCTTCCAGCAAAAAAAAGGTGCGCTAATGTCCAGGTGCGCAAAAAAAAGGTCGCATTTGTCCCACCCCCTCTATCTAGAGTGCGTTCCTCGCGAGTATTTCGTTTTCGTTTTCCACAAAGAGGATTTCGTTTCATTTACGGATAATTATTTCTGATCTTTTATTTATTACATTTCACTTTGCTCACAATTTATCCAAATGAATTCTCAATCTTTCATCGGTTCTCTTTGAATTTGTCCTGGATTCCCCTGTTCGCTCAAAAACGAATCCAATAATCGAATGTCTTGTTAAATGTGTTTTTGTCGTTTTCTTTTAGAGTGCGTTCCTCGCGAGTAATGCGTTTTTTAAAACGCACACTTGGGAAAAAATTACCGTACTTTTAGCAAAAATTATTGCAAAAAAATGACGCAAAAATGATGAGCCCCGAATTATATACGACACTTTTTAAAGATATTCAGCCGTTTAACTGATTTGATGGGAAATCCCTTCCAATGTAAAAAATGATTTGTTTTGAAAAATCTGCGCAAAAAATTGCTTTTATATTTTTTTTCGCGCAGGCGCACTTTTTAGAAAACGCATTACTCGACGGTAAAAAAATTACTCATGCAAATTTACTCGAGTAATTATTAATTACTTACTCGCGAGGAACACGGATAGATAGAAGATAGATAGAGCATAGATAGAAGTAGAGAAACACACTCTACTTCTATCTATCATTCTACCTAAAAAGAAGTTTCAAAAAAAGCAAAAAAAGTCCCAATTTCAGGGGATCGGGTGGTCTTCTATTAGAATTTTTATCATAAATCTGAATAAATAAAAGGTAAACTAATATTTGAATTTTTAAAACAAGACCTCAAGATATTCAGTCAAAGCCGGATGGGGGATGGGGCAGGGTACGAGATTTGATGCACTAGAGAAATGCAAATATTGGGTTGGGGAGAATGAGTCGGCGCCGAAATTTAAAGAAACTTTTTGCACCCATAAAACCTTCTTTAAATACACGTTTTGTTTCATCAAAATGGCCCACTATTTCTTTACAAAATGGCTTTTGAGAGATTCCACAAAGCTTTTCTTTTTTGGGATCTTATGGATTCCCAAACACAGCTAATCAAAATGACAAAAAGTCCGGCTCATTGCTTGAACAGTTTCTTCCACATAAACCTCCTTTGGTGTTTATATAAAAAAGATAGAACACACTCAATTACATAAGTTACCAAATTTTCAGGAAGATCCCTCCAACCGTTTACTCTAGATGACAGTTTATCGATTTTGTGAAAAAATGATCCTTTGTTGAGTTGAGGCGCTGTTTGAGTTCTCTTTTAAATATTATTTTGTAGAGAATTAGTTACCCTTCTACGGATATCAAACGCATATCATTTGACAAAGTCTGCTATAAGCTATAAGAAATTTCTTTGATTTTCGGCGCCGACTCATTCTCCCCAACCCAATAGATAAGGAAACGACAGCATAATACTTTTATGAAATTTTACATTGTCGTCTCTCATTACAGTATGAAAAGATTCAGTCAACTAGTAAATCGATGAAATTCACTAAATTCACTAAATGCAAAAGATAGGCACCCAGCTTTCTTGTCTGAATGTGACTCGTCATTGAGCATACTGTAGCCAGGAGACTTTCAAACGAACCATTTAGTGATCTTTATTATACCATTAGAAATTGCCTACTGAATCGATAAGTTTCTAAAAAGAAAAATCATTTGTTTTTGTCGTCAAGCAGGTGATTTTTCTTCAAGAGAAAGAGAAATTCTTCAAGATTATCACCATTTCGTCACCATTTGGCTAATCTATAAAAATCTCAGAGAGATTTCTGGGAGTTTCGTGAAAAAATATAATCTAGCTAGTAGTTGAGTCATAGTTCTTTTAAAGAAATTGCATTTTCTTTTCTTTTTTTTTCTCATTTCATTATCTTTTGATGGAGTCCATTAGCTAATCCTCTAGAATAAAACAGAGTAGACATTTTTGGGGAAAAAACAAAAAAAAAACATTTTGTGGAGTAGGCTAATTTCCGCAATTTTCTTTTGTGCAACAGCGGCATTTGCGCAACTCGCCATAACTTTCTTCTAAGTGGGTCAATCTTTATGATTTTGGTTTTAGTTTGTAGAGCTCAATAAGTGCAATAAAATGAAACCAAAATCATAAAGATTGTCCGACTTAGAAGAAAGTTATGGCGAGTTGCGCAAATGCCGCTGTTGCGCAAAAAAAATTGCGGAAATTAGCCTAGCCCTAACTTAGTTCCACAATAGAAATTTCAATACGAATTTCAATATATCAAAGTTAGTGGAATGACAAACTATCATAACTTTTTATAACATAAGTTAGTGGGGTAGGCTACTTTGCGCCAAGTTTTTTGCGTAACAGGGTCATTTGCGCAACTCGCCATAAATTTCTTCTAATTGGTTTTGTAGTTTCATTTTGTAGATCTCAATAAGTGCAATAAAATGAGACCAAAATCATAAAGATTGGTCCAATTAGAAGAAAGTTATGGCGCGTTGCGCAAACGACCCAGTTGCGCGAATGCCGCTGTTGCGCAAAAGAAAAATTACGGAAATTAGGCTACCACCATTTCGTTGAAGTACTTGATCAACTGATTTTTTTTGGAAAAAAAGTTTGTGTAACCATCTAAAAGTTTATGATGATCAGCCAGATGTTTGAAGAAATTCCCCAATTTCCCAATCCAATTCTAGAAAGAAAAAACCTCAAAATCCTTTAGATTTGTTGAAAATAAAGCAAAAAATAGTCTCTTAAAAACGAATTTTCAAAAGTTAAGCAAACCAGCAAGCTGAGGAAAAATCTTTCAAATTTCAGATGCTCGTCGAAACACGGACCCACCCGAGACCCCCAGAGCTGGCGCCAGATCCATCAGTAACTCGTGTAATCCATGAAAGACCTATATTCGCAAATCCTGAGGGAGATCCCTTTGATGATCCCCTTTATCAACAATATATTGAACGAAGCGAGATGGGCGACGACGTCTTCGACCTTTCCACATATCCATCACCTCGTCCCGCTTTTCATACGCTCAATTCGTATCCTCAAATGTCATCAGCTCCCACTCTGCGATGGTCGGAAGGGATCTCTCATCCCAATGCCTCTCAAATGGGCGTGTCGGCTGCTTCATCTCTCGTTTGTCCCCTTTCTTCTCCATCTCCATTCCCTCTTCAACTCCAATCCCTTCCCTCACCGACTCCTTCATCAATACCATCAATTCCATCAATTCATTCACAACGAGACGAGCCTGTTCGTCGATCTGTTCCCCCACCAAATCATCGAGCGATGGCCAATCGAAGACACACTGTATGGTTTGTGCCTGGATCAAGACGGCAAGTTTTTAAAAATAAGTTTTATAGATAGAATTTTGATGCAAATTTAAAAAATGAAAGAATTCTGTTTCATCTAATCTTTTCTATTCTGAAGTATGAGTATTTTTGTGTACAATCTTTATGATTTTCCATTTTAAAGGAAGACAAATTCTAAACGATAATCTCAATAAAATGAATATTTCCGGATACAAATTCACAGCTGAATATCTGATGTCATGATTCATTTTCTTAAATTATTGCCTTAAATTTGGTTTATTTTTCCTACATTTCCTACAAATTTCTTCCTACAAATGATATTTTTGTTTATTATTAAATTTTTTATTTTTCCTACAAATCCTTTATGTACAATCTTTATGATTTTCCATTTTAAAGGAAAACAAATTCTAATCAATAACCCCAATCAATAACCCCAATAAAATGAATATCTCCGGGTACAAATTTGCTGAATATCTTTACGTTAAATGAATGAATGATTGATCATTATCTTAATCATGATGTCATGATTCATTTTCTTAAATTATTGCCTTAAATTTGGTTTTTTATTTTTCCTACAAATCCCACATTGCTTCATTTCGATCAAAACTTTCGATCAAATCATTTTTATTTCAAAAAGAAATCAAGCTAAAGGTTTCCTTTATGGCTGATTCAAATTCAAAGACTTTACCTCAACTTCTCTTTACTTCTTTTCCTCTTTACTATTTTACACATCGTATTTTCTCTTCAAATATCTATCAAATATCCATTTTCTGAAGGGAAACCTTATAGAAGTTCTCTTTTTTTCTTTTTCTCTTTCCTTTCCTTTTCCTCTTTCCTGTATTTCTTTTTTTTTTCCTTTTCTCAAACAAATTACCCCAGATGTGCCAGATCTTTTCCCCCATTTCCCCTTTTTTTTTTTTGATTGACAACTTTAACAATTTCTCTCACAAATTCGAAACTTTTATCTTTTTTTCCACTTTTTCTACGAAATTTTAGACTTTAGCTGAGCTTTAGACTTTAGCTTAAAAAGTTCTCTTTTTAAAAAAGAGAACTTCTATAAGGCTTCCCTTTGGTCAGAAAATGGATATTTGATAGACATTTTCTCATTTAAGTTTATCAAAATTTCAAACTTAACACAACTTTTTGTCGAGGGAATCTTGTAGCATTCGATTGTAAATCTTTTCCTTTAGACACAAAACAATATTCGAAACCTGTATTGGCAATGAAGCTCTTTGTACAAAAAAAAAGAAAAGAAATCAAGTGCCCAATGGGGAGAATGTGGAATCTTCTCTGAGCTCATTCCGATCCCTCATCACATCTTCCTATCCTTTCTCCTTTATCTCCATTCTCCATTTCAATCGCAATATCATCTCGCATTTGTTCATCCGTCCACCAAAATTACCTCCTTTCTTTTCTTCTCTTACTCATTCATCTTTTTTCCTATTCCTTTTTTTGTTCACCGATCGTTTTCTCATCTAAAATTGGATCCCTTTTTTTTTCTTCTTGAAATGACCTCTCAAGATTCTACCCGTCTCAGCTTCTAAAAAAATATCATAGAAAAAGATCTAAAAAATACATACATTCATTTTTCATAAAGTAATAGTATGCCAGACTAAAACGGTAATTGAGAAATTGATTGATCTCTTGATCAATTGACGATCTTGATCTTTACACTACGTTAATCTATAGTAAGCCAAGATACTGTGTGTTTTACAGTATCCTTAGCATTCAGTCTTGCATATTGGCCTTATTGGATTGAAAATATGTTTTGACAATTAAAAGAGTGCCCTTCTGAAGTCTCTAGACTGCAAATGAGTATGAAAAGATTGCTTAAGTCGTTCTTTCGTAAGATATTCAGTTATCAAAGCACTAATTCTTTGTATTCTACAATTTGTATTACTTTGTATGCTTTCAGAGCTCGAATATTAAAACACAGAATTTCTTTTTCTAATCCCGAAAATCATTATTTTTTTTTCTTTGACCTCGTGCTTAGACGGTTTCTGTTTCCAAATTTTTTCCACAAGCGAAATATCTCGTGACGGGGCGTCGAATTGAGGCCAGATCTGCAACATGATATTATCAGAAATTTGAGAACACGAAAAGACAATTTCAAGACGACCACAATGAGGAAAGAAAAAAAAATGGATGGAAAGGCCATTCAAAAGAAAGGAATCGATTTCTTTTGTTGAATCTTTCCCAGAATGCTCATCAACATTTTCCTCTTGGATTCGATCCAAAGTGTCGATTTTTGTGAGTCTCTTTGAGTCTTTTAGGGATATCTCTACTTCAATCTCTTCAACTCATTGCATCACATCGAATCTCAATCATCGAAATAATACTTGTGGTGAGCTCAAATTTCTAAATTTCTAGAGTTTTCTCGTAAAAAAAACGGGAATGATCTGGTATTTTGATGATTTTGATGTGAGATCATTGATCAAAAAAAAAAGTGTTTACAAAAAGTGTAATACCATCATCATCAATATGAGAGTAAAATATCAACAAAAAGTATAATACCATCAATATGAGAGCGCTTATAGATTTGCGGAGTTTTTTTTTAGTGGTTTCCCTTTTTGAAGCCATGTTTGGGGAGGAGTGTGCGGGAGTGCGATTCACTAAAACTATACTCAAAACTCTTTCTTTTAACGGGTTCAATTCAATAATATGGTTCATTTGTTTGACTTTATTTGTTGAAATCTCTCTAATAGATAAAGTAAATGAAGTAATATGAAATAGAAAGAGTTTTAAGATATTTAATTCAATTCAGAAAATCTCGTTTGTATATAATTTTTGTTTATGACTTAAATGTGTGCAATATTTTTAATTTATAATATTGATTACACTGAAAAATCCTTTTCCAAAGTAAAATGGAAGAAATTTGGATTGGGGGGAAAGGTTTGTGTGACCCATCACATTGGATGAGATTGAAGAAAAAGAAAAGACAACTGTCCATTCAGTCCATTCAGTCGATTCGGTCGATTCTGTCCATTCTGTCGATTCCCTTCATTCTCTTCATTCATTTCAACCATTCGAGACTCTTTTCAATAAAGAAAGAAAAAAAAAATGAGAAGATTTATGAGTGAGATCAATCGGGAAAAGAAAAAGAGCAGAACAGAATACACTTTGTTTGAGAGGAACGATGACTTTGCACGATTGCAAAGTATTAGTCGAAAAATAGGTCATGTTGTAGTGGTGAAATTGAGTCGAAACACACGATCAGGCGTTCTTTGTGCGCGTCGCCAATCGGCCTCCTTCTCGTATTAGTCGAAAATTTTTGGAAATCTTTTTTTTGACTAACAAGAGACTAAATTTACTTTACTTAAGCAAGCTTCAGTTACTTCTTTTCTTTAACACATTTTCGACGATGGCATTTTTTTGGACGTACCCTTTTATTGATAATTTGGTGAAAATTCAAAGGTAAACTAAACTATTAGAGTCATTTGATAGCCCTGAATCTCCTCTTGAAAACTAGTGGAAAGTTAGAGAACTTTCTGCAAAATAAACAACAAAAATCCTTAAAAAGTTGAGTTGACACTTAAAATAATGATTTTACGGCCAACCAGTGGGTCGGATCGTCGTGAATGTGTTAAATTGAATCGTTCTGATTTGCTTTTTTTAAATCTAAGATTGAAAAGGAGTGAAGAAAATAAAAAAAGGGAAAGAGCTGTCCCTTTGAAATGACCCCTTTTTCTTTATGGAACATGAAAAAGAAGGATAAAGATGACAATGAAAAAAGGAAAAGGGAAAAGAAAGAAAGAAATGGGTCTCACTGACATTGGGGTTTCAAACAAAGAAAAATGGAAAAATCTTTGGAAAAAAAGCTCTCTTTCTGGAGAAAACAACTCCAAAGCCTTGAGATCTCTAGCCAAAACAAGAGACGAAATAAAAGAAGAAATAGAAGAAGAAATAGAAGAGAGAAAAGTCGACAAACTTAATCACAGACAAGGATATTCAATATTTTAAAGAAAAGGAGATTTAGAATTGGAAATAGAGAAAGAGTGAAGAGATAGATAGAAAAGGAATTGAAGAAATCGGAGAATAGTAATGTTTGAGTGAGAGAGGTGAAAGATATTGGAAAGGAGAGGGGAAGGAGGCTGAATGGAGAAGGGGAAGGAGGCTGAATGGAGAAGGAAATTGGGAAAAAGAGGTTAAGAAATGGGAATAGTAATGCTAGATTCATTGGATTAGAGATAAGGAGAAAGGGGGTTTTTATGAAAGAAAAGAAATCGAGGAAAGAGTTGAAGCTCGAGGGAGAGGTTCAGGGGGTGGCCAGGGGTGGCCAGGAGGGGCTGAAAGGGAAGCGAGTGGGCCTCGCCAGTGCTGTGCCCCTTCCCTCGCCCCGCTTCTCCCATTCCCTCCACCCCATCCCTCCAGATTCCCCTCCCTTTCCATCCCCCTTTTCCCCTTCCCAAACACTCCTCACTTACCCCCCAAAGAGCCTGACTCTCCCCTCACCCCAAACAATTCCCCTCACCATCAACTAATCGCAATATTTTTTTCGCTTTCCTGATTAGGCTATGGACTTTATTCTAAACTAGATCCCTTTAAACGATGCCACGTCGTCGTGGCTTCGGATTAGCCTCATTGAGAAAGGATCTCCATCTGCACAATCTCTTCCGTTCATCGCAAGCTGTTCCCCAATCGCCGAGTATTCCCGAGGTGACATCGGTGTCTCGGGAATCCTCACAAGATCGTTTACAACGAATTCGTCCAAATTCCACTTTATCTCAATCGACGACATTCAGTGGTGAGGGTGTTGGGCATCTCGGTCCACCATCAGGACATCATGGTGGTAGAAGGGAATCATTTCTGTATCGACCATCCGAAGATACAAGAGAACTCGGCCCACGACCGGTCAGTCGAGCAAGCAGTGTGACAAGCAGTGATCCAACACAAGGGTGGGTATTTTAATGAGAAGCAATTTTATTAATAATTGAATGAGAAGCAAATTTATTAATAATTGATTAGATTTAAAAGTCAAAGATTTATATTCTCATTGACTTGAGTCATCAAGAATCATAGTCAATGTGAAGCATGAGTTTTCTATAAAATTAAACTTTTTTTCATTGCGTCAAAGATTGAGTGAAATGTAAAATTTGGGATTTAATTGTTTTGTGCTATTTTCACGTGAATTCTCTGGCCTTCATATTGCTTCTTTTCTTTAGAAAAACACTATTTACTTATTTTTTTTTTGTCTAACACTAACTCTCGTTCATTTTTGAGGTTGGCTGATTTCCCGCGGGGCTTTGATTGTTTCTCTCTTTTCCTCTGTTTTTCCTTTCCTTTAAAGGGACTCCTTCCCTTGCTCAGTTTACACTCAATAATTGGATGAGCTTGGAGTGAAATGAAAAGAAAAGATTTCAATTACTGCTCAGCATTTTCTAGTTTCATTAACTAGCATCACTAAAATTCAAACTTCAAACTTCAAACAATTGTACTCTTTCAGACAAAAGTGTGGCTCAAGTTTTGTGCTAGCAGAGATGCGTTTGGATGAAAAACTCGATATTTCTTTCAATTAAGCTAGGTTGATAACAAATCTATGAAATATTTAAGGATGATAGGCATAGGCTCGAGAAGAAAAGCAAGCTAGTTAGAGGAAAGCTGTATATCATGAAGTTGTGAGCATATTGGAAGGGGAGGCTCGGTGAGCTCCCTCTCCTCCTCCTCCTCTGGTTGGCCTTCGATTCGTAGCTGTCCACTTTTTTGGGGGTAAAAGGAAAAAAAAGCCTGCTGTTGGTTTCCTTTCATTTTCCCTTTTTTTTCTTCATCCCATTCTCGCAAAGCCATGCATTTTCTTCTCTTCACAATCGCCTCTCCCCTCCAAGCAATGGATCTCCCTTGTTGTCTATTTTTTGTGTGCTGGACCCCATCCTGAAGACAAACTTTTTCAAAAACGAACAATAAGGGGAAATTTGAGCCCATTTTAGATTTCACTAATCGAAAGGATTATGGGAATTTCCTCGAAAAGTACTTGAACTTTCATATTTCTCATAGATTCAAATTCATCCACGTAAACCCTGTGTTTCACTAAAAATTTTCGTTTTTTGAACAAAAGAATTGCATTTTGCCATTTCAAGTGCACTTTTTGAGGTTTCACCATATGAAAAGTGCATAAAAAGTGGGATTTGAAAAGAAGAAATTGAAGAATTGTAGAATTTCAATGGATAGATAGGGATGGATTGGGTGAAAAAAAAGAAGAAGAGAAAGAAAAGTAAGAAAAGTAAGAAAAGAAAGAAGAGAAAGAAGAGAAAGAAGAGAAAGAAAAGAAAGAAGAGAAAGAAAAGTAAGAAAAGTAAGAAAAGAAGATCAACTAATCCCCTTCACTTTTTACTTTTGGGTCTCCTTTCATCTGATCACGTCAAAAAGAAAAATGGATGGGAAATTTCGAGTAAAAAAAAGAGCCATAATTGAGTCATAATTAAGGGCTTTAGGTTATAATTGGAATTTTTAAAGTTACGCTTTTTTTTGAGAGGAAAAGAGTGAGCATTTTGATCGGTCTAAAGTTTAGATAAGAGAATTCTTGAAGCTCATTGAAAGTAGATGGCTTGGCAAAGAGAAAGTTGAGGCATTTATTGATAGAAATCGATTCATCATTGATATTTTTGAATTGAGTACAATTCTGACAGGTTATTCTAGTGAGAAATCCATTATAGCATTCTTCCTAGCATTCTTTTTTTACCGATTTCAACAAAGAAAACCGATGAGATAAATTATTGCTCTTGGTTCTTCAAACTGGCAGTTTCAGTCTTGCCACTTGAATACTTTGAATACTTTGAATGTTTCTGGGTTTACTTTAACACTCACTTTACCATCTAATCAATAATCAACAAGAATTCCGCAAGAAAAAAACAACACTCGAATATGTTATTCTCCACATTTACTTCAACGAGCTCATCCATTAGCCGATAAATGAATGTAAAGAGCTGAAAGAACGTCTCCTTTCTATGATATACATGCAATTCGTTGTGAGTGAGATCGACTCGCTTCCACTCCATCCATTCCTCATCCATCACTCTTTTCTCTTCTCTTTTCTCACTAATTGCATTTTCTTCTTTTTCCCTTTTTTTTATTCATCCGTCTCATCCACATCTTCCATTCCTTTCTGCATCAACAACAACAGAAAGAAAAACCTTTTCTTCTCATTTTCCCCATCTCTACAACATCTTTTGTTCATTCTTTCACAGAAAAAAAAAATCCCAGAATTTCTAAAGTTATATGAAAATTTGTCGATAAAAGCATCTTATCAAAATGATCAAAATGATTTCCATCATCAAACTGAAATTCAATAATGAAATTTGAACAGAAATAGTTGAGAGAAGTGTTTTCACAGAAAAGAGATCAAATTTTGACATGATGAGATCAAAATATGACGTTTCATAATACAAAAACGAGCTCTTTTGCCTGAAATTGACATCATGAACACATGGCAGATTGAGGGGGGAAAAGAGAAGAGAATAAAGAGAAATGGTTAACGAAAAAAAAAAAAAAAAAAAGAACGAGGTCATACATCTGATTTTTCAGCGGTGATGGACATATAGATTTTTGTGTGAAATCCCATCGGGAGATCTCTTTTTTTGAAAAACTAAATCTTTTCATTTCAAATCATCGAGATTGATATTTGAAATCAAAAATTTCAAATATCAATCTGAATGTGCCTTTGATTTAAATTATTAGAAGATCAGAAGAAAACTCGGCAAAAAGTCTATTCACTTTGAGTAGAAAAAAAAGTAGTTTACTTGTAAAGTTGTGCGTAACATTTTGTCAACTTTTTTCAACACTGTCAACATTATATTTCTATTGGATACATTTGAAAGAATTATTTCCAATTCTAACTCTTTTTAGTTCGAGATTTTAAAAGCTAAAATTCCCAATTTGCCTGGTGTTCATGAGATTTTGTGCGGATTTTCAGTAGGAACAAATGGATTGAGAGAAAGGGGTTTAAGGGGGGGAAAAAGAGGCAATAAATCTATGTCCAGAGCTGCTGGTGATCCTGGGGGAAAGCGGGAAGGGGGTAAAGGGGTAGATGTGCCTGTTGATGACGTCATTCTCTCTTTCATCCCTCTTCCTCCTTTTTTGCTAAATGAATCCATTGGTTGTCTTTTCCAGTTAAAATCCCTCACCTTATAGGAAAACATTGTGAAAATGTTTCTGGAAACATTTTTGATAAAAAGGATAAAAGACAAAAGACAATAAATGAGAGTAAAGATTTGAAATTGTCTTATGAAAGTTTTCAATTACGCAAAATCAAAAGCACAATGAAATCCTTTGAGCAAATATTAAAGTATAATTATGAATTTTTGACTTTAATTATCTAAAGAATAAAGATAATTGAGCGCACAAAGCTGAATAGATATTCAGCTTTGTGCGCTTAAAGATTTCACTTCAAAGAGCTAACCGTAAATACTGTAATAGTACCCCACCCCCAGAATGACGGTGCGGAGTGTTGCGTAGTCTAGTTTTGAACGAGTTTTTCTCGACACTGGTTTATGCTACAATACGCGCTTAGGTATCAAAAAATAGCTGAAATTCAGGGCTATTTTTTGATACCAAAGACGCATTTTTTGAAAGTACGGGTGCTTTGAAAAAAATTAAATACTAAAAAACTTTTGCGACTACGCGACTGTACGCGGGAGGTGGGGTACTATTACAGTATTTACGGTAGTTATCTATTTGTTTGGATGAATAGTTTATTATTATAGTATACGGTAGCAAGTAATGACAATTAGAGTGTAAGTTAATTAAAGTGAAATCGGTTTTTGAGTAAAAAAATAAATAAAGCTTAAGGTGGTAAGTCAAAAATAACAGTTTTTAACAGGAAAGTTTCTAGAATAAAAGTCAAAAAAGAAGAAGTAGAAGAAGTAGAAGAAGTAGAAGTGTTTCTTTGTTTTTGACTAACCGTTGTTGTACTTTAAAGTTCTCCCCAAAAATGAGCGTTTCCCTTTTTCCTATTTCCAGTGATTTCTTTCCTAAGCATTGTCTTGTAAAGAATGGGTTCTTTCAAGTGGAGAAATTTGCCTTTTCTTCCACAAAACCCTCTCCCAATATCCACGAACTTCTCCTCTTTAGATCCATCCATAATGTTCTTCTTGTTCTTCTTCTTCTTCTTCTTCTTCTTGTTCTTCTTCTTGTTCTTCTTGTTCTTCTTGTTCTTCTTCTTCTTCATCATCTTCTTCTTCTTCTTCTTTCTCCTCTTCCAATATTTGATTCCTCTTAAATCTTTTCATTCATTCATTTCATTTATTTCATTCTTTCATCTTTTCTTTCCCATTTCCTTCATATGCTCTTCATTTTCATTTTGGGACTCTTTCCGTTTTTCGGGAAATTTCCACCGACCCCATATAATCAAATTTCTCAGTTTTTTTTTTTGAAAAGTTCAAGCCAAATTTTTTCAAAACCCATCGAATATTGATCCTTATTTCTTTTACAATTTTCAAAGTCTTATCATTACTTTATAATTTTCTTAAATTTCCCCATAAATCTAACGAATCTAACGACTAGATCCTTCTTGGTTTACTAATTTTGGTTTACTAATTTTTGGGAAATTCCTGTAATCCTTATGGATTTTCTTAATGTTTTTTTGTTGCTTTGAATCAAATATGAAGAAAAATCCCTTTAGTGCTTTCAAAAAATCCGGAAAAATGCTAATTTCTTTCTTTTTTTTTAAACAAAACGGGTCGTCGTGGGGACTCGATGCATCCTAGCCGATTCCCTTCGATTCCCCATTCCCCATTCCCCATTCACCCCTTCCCCCCTTCCCCCCGTCAAATTTCCATTTCAAAAGCCGATTTGGCTGTGCTCCTCTCATTCTCTCATCACAGGCACACAACCACCCACATTCAATTGAAATGTTTCAATAAACTGCCTCCAATGTTTTTTTTTGTTTTTTTTCTCATTTTCCTTTTTTCTTA